ATCTTTGAAAATATCACAAGAGGCAGGGGAATAACTGTGGGTTTTTGAAAACTCATGTATTTTGAAGTTTTGAAGATGTTGCGGTTGGCGTAGTTCAGTTGATCACTAATATACAGTTGCGGTCAACAAGTGTTCGCCGAAACGATTTTTCAGTGCATTATTTTTTCTCGCTTGAGCAACGCCCTCCAAAGATTGATATACTATGTTTTCTAGTGTTTTTATATCCTCAAGTTTAAAGAATCAGGATATTCAAAAAAAGTTCCGAGATCACCACTGATTTTTTTCTGGCAAAAAAAAAAGAAGCACGAAAAACCGTTTCGGCGAACACTTTTGACCGCTAGTTTAGTTGATGCGCCATGCTTTGGTGCTCTTTGCCCTGGGTCAAGACATATGGGCTTCGAACGCAAATCGCATTTACTTCGGCTTGCGGGAGAGCGATTTTCGGTGAAGTCGGTGTTTCTATCATCTCACCATCAGGCCTATTTATCCTAGAGAAGTGACCGCAGAAAGACGAGTAGGTGACCTAGTTCAAATTTCTGGCGTGCAGAAAGGCACCTTATTGCTGATGTGCTTCCTCGGTCGGGAGTGGGCGTGGAGGACGAGGGAGGGTTTCAGGACCTGATTCCGTGCGTTCAAAAACAGGCACGCGCGCTGTCGTTCTGATGGTGAAATTTTGACTTTCTGTGCCACTGAAGCTGTTGGCGTAACTTTTCAGCGGCGTAGCGGCGAACGGGGAGGGACAAAGCTCAGCGATAGACGTAAATATAGTGTAAAAATAAATCTCCGAGCTTCTCTCTTGGGTTGAAAGCTCCAGCCCTCAGACCTCTGTAGCAGGTAGCGTTGGAAATAGATTAGCTGCGTGGGACAAGCGAGAATTGATCAAACATCCGTTAATACCGTGATGTTATTTCTAACTTTGTTGTGCGCAAAAAAACGATTGACAGAATCAAAATAGATCCTTCCGAGAGAATATCCTCTTACAAGGGCAGGTCTCCTCGGGTCAAGGGTGCGGTTTCTTAAACGGTTTTTGTGCATATATTATGTGGGCACGGAGGTAACGGCATGTAGGGACGCAAACCATCGTTTCATTTTCGCTGAATGACGATTATAGCAGTAGCCGCCAACAACCAGAACGCCTCACCTCTCGTTTCAAGCCGGCGTTCCCGATCCTCGTCGGCCGGACTAAATCTTTCGCCCATCTAGGTCCTGGCGCCCTACCCGCTCTGGCTGCAAATCGCCGCTAAACTTCAAACACCAGACGTCCAAATCATCGTCAGGACGCATTTTGAACGCCCCACCAACGCCCTGGTCCGCCAACCTTGCATTGCAGAATTTACGCTCGCCGGCCGCCCGGAGCCCTGAACCCACCCTGAGGGTAACTTATTCGACCCACCTTTTTCGTTTCTGCCTACACTCCACCGTCTCCGCTCCGAAGAGTACGAACACGATTGTTGTGGTCCACTTTACTGCGCTCCTACAACAGCTATGTACTTAGAGACGTTTCCGAAAGCGCACCTTGCCCACCGAAAGACTCCCTTGTTAGACTTCCGGCATTGTTATTTCAGTGTACCGCTAATAACACTGATTTCATTTCATCATGTAAATGAGAAATGATGAGTAGTACTGAAAACTGGAAGTTATGGTTAAGTAATAATGTACATGAAATAAGGTTATCATGAAGGAATAGGGAACTTTTATGGTGTTTATTGGTTGGTTGGTATTGGAATTTTTTGTACATCACCATTGGGTGCGAAGGGCGGAAGGGGGTTTGTGCCGTTAGTTATACGAACCATCACCCTAGAATTTATGAGATTTCATTATTTGAGAAGGTGTCGTGAACTAGTCGCTATCTTTTTTGAGAAAGGTGTCGTGAACAGTCGCTCCCTTTGTTGATATTTTCACGTTATAAGGCGATTATCAGCGTTCGTGGACAAACGCGCTTCAGCAAAAGTGCACGATAATCCTCCGACGTTTAAGAGCCCCAAGTGTCGAGTGTTTCTCAAGTACCATCAATGGCCATATAGTAGTCATGGAAAGCAACTTTTTGAGTCATCCTGTCTAGGTGCTTCAATGTTGTGTAGTACCTTAGAAAGTTGTCAAATTTACTTGGTTAAAGGGTTTATATTATTCACATGAAGCTTTCAGCAGCCAAATCAGTTAGATATTCCGTATCATCAATAGAAGGAAGTGGACGAATTCATTTAGTGTATGTTTTGCCGATTGTGCGGGGTGCTTTATGTGGAGGGGTGGAAGGGGGGAACAGCTGAAAATTACATCCTAATCAATTAAAAAGTCATCTGATGGTGAATTGATTCCGTAAACTATGTCTGCGAGAGCGAGGAAGTTTTCGACGTTGCTGCTTATTTATTTATTTGTCGCCCAGTTTGGTCTCAACAATGAGCCTAGTCAGCAAATATGAAAAAGAAGCTATACAGTTCAAACAGAATAAGGGAATAGAAGCTTGGAAGCCGAAAAAAAGTGGACAGCCTTGTGCTCTTGAGAAGCCTCAAATAGCACCTCTTGGTGGCAAAAGGTTTTATAAAAGTCCGGTTCATGACCACACGGAGCGCACCTTGCCACAGGGCTCAAAATATTTCACGAAACAAGTTATTGTTTAGCGGCGGAACCTAACGCTCCACCGGCTGGCCAGCTTTACCGAGCCCTTCCGTGTCATGCACGCGGTAGTGTGCGGAGCTAAACTGGTATTGATAAGTCCCGTAATGTTTCGGACTCCCTAGACTACTTTTGCATAATCAGGAACTTACTTAACCACTATATGCCTTCTCTCATTGGGCCATTTCACAACCTAAGTGTGGTTTCCCGAATTCAAACTGTTCTTGTTTCTCTCGAAACACATGAGTTGTCGTGCTACAGTTCGCTTTCTGAGATGAGAACAGAGCCCAAACGCGCGGTTAGTGCTCATCGCGCAAACGGTGTCCCCCCCCCCCCCACCACATTTCAGGAAAAACTCTTATTCCCGCTTCCCATGCTCTCTGCTCCACCTCAAACTTTTTACCTATACCATTTTGCAAATGCTATTGTGAGTAAAAAATGGAATAGATGAGCAAGTTTTTCGAATGTGGGTGGTATGTACTTTTTTAGTGAGAGGTTCACCACTCTGTAAATATCTTTGGAAATAGCAAGCTTTCTGAAGAGATACCCTTTTGACTATTTGGCGTCGACTATGTACTGTTGGGTCTTCTGTGCAAATCTACTGATATAAGGGGCCGAGTCCTAAAGGATAAAGGATAAAGCATTTGCCGTTGATCAATCCCTTTTTGGGATGCGGCACGCATTCTACTTCCATTTGTACATTCGTAGTGGCGTTTGAATGCGATGTGGCCTATACAATGACTTGCGGGGCCAGCCGATGTACAAGTCAGTGTTTTTATCCTCCCAGACAAGTCTGGTAATAACGAACCCGTGGGAGAAGGCTCTTGGTCGTGCGATCACGAGCCGCAGGATTTGATCCCGGGACCGCCACGTGCGTAATCTGCCATTTACCACCACACGTTCCGCCGCGGAGTCTGACATAGAACATGGAATGTGCATTTTTGAGAAAATTAGTGCCCTGTCGACGGTTTTGTACCCTTGGCATGCGGTGACGACACGTGCGTGTCCACTGGAAAAGCCTCTTAACATCAATGACGACGCTCTCATAATTAACGGTTTCGCAGACACAATTGACCGTTTCAGCTGTATTCTTTCAGTTCGCACTAGTTTGCAAAGGATGTCTCATTTTTCAGCAATTCAGCTACAACTATGAATTGTTAATAACGATATTTTGTTTATTGAGCGTTGTCACTTGTATAGGGATCTATAGTGCAACTCCTAAGAGCGAATGCGATAAAAGCTAGCGCATCGGCCGTGCATATTACAGGGGGGGCAAAAAGACATTTGCCTATGTCGGACTTCGGCTCTTTTTTTTTCGCAGAGATTGCTGTCGTTGACGGGAGTTCCTCAGCAGAGTATTCCCTAAGTTCCCTCTATTAGTGTGACGCAGGCTCTCCTTCACTGCCCTCACCGTCTTCAGAATATGACGTCATCTGTCACCGTCGTCAGGCTCAAGGAGGTCTACCGTAAGAGCTTCAGCCTGAAGCTCTTACGCAATTTCGTGAATCGATTTAATGTTGGATAGTTTTCTAGAGGCATTAGCTACCACTGTGCAAATCCCCTCGAAACTAGCTTTCCAGTAAGGGTCGTTATGGTACACGATCCTTCGAAGACCCCATTGAGCTCGACCAGTGCACCATGTTTCCAGGGCAAATTCTTCTGTTGCCGTCCACGTGGGTGGCCAACATGAAGATTTTCTTATAGAATGAAATGTGCTCTTCAATATTAAGTTGGAAACACTCGGTCTCAATTGAGCAAAATGTGCTTAAATCCATCTGAAAGTGGAGACAAAATGTCTTTTTTTATTGGCCCCCCCTGTATGGGTGTACGAAACAATTTACTTGACTACGCAATGGAGTGAGGTGTGCGCTTCTTACAAAAGGGAGCTGTTGCTGAGCAGAAATCGACGCAACCTGTCCTGCCCAAAGCTACCGGGGGCCCGGCGGGCCCCCCCCGCTCGTTCCCCCCTTAGGAATATGGACGAAACGCATTAATGCAATTAACGAGCTCGCCAAATCACTAGACCGGACCGTCTGGCATTGTCCATCAAACACAAGACATGATTAACTGTCATTCATCGGCCGTCTCAAATTAGCCGCTGCCCGTCCGTTAGCGCCAATCGACGGCAACACAAAGGGGTCCCGTCTCCCGTTTTCTAGTCGGATTTCTCTGCTTTTATCGCCATTGGCGTACGTACGTACGTTGAGCACCCCACATCCCTTCCAAACCTGCTCCAGAAACTGTTGTAACTTTTGCTTTGACCACTCTTTACAAAAGTAGGCGAATCGTTTTGTTTTCTACGGGACTTTATCCGTGCTTTTCGAATGACATTAAAGTTGAAAAAGTAAACTTTGGCGGGATTAATGGAAGTTTCACTTCAGTTTCACATGTTTTTTTATTGGTCTGTCGTATATTCTAATATTTGCTTTGATGTTTTTGCTTGTGGGTGATTTACTTCAATTTTTGTTTCAGTCCGAAATCCGAAGAAGAAATCGAAGAAGCAGCCGATGCTGTGGCTGAACTGCAGCGTGCTCCATCTCCAGTCGAAAGTGTTAAAGACACACGGCCACCTTCACAAGAGGACCTGCTAACTCGGCCCGAAGAACTATTCACACCAGTTCTAATCGACGTGGAGCCTCCTGCTCCGATCACAGAGCCAATAGAGATCCGACAATCGTCAAGGAGTCACTCATCACGCCATAGCTCACTCGAAACGCCGCCGTTGAAAGCCGAGAAACTCCGCATATCGCCCTCGCCACGAGATCGTCATCTGTCGTTGGATCGACATATGGAACGTGCTCACAGTCTTAATCCACCGTTGCGTTGCCCAGGTGATTCGAGGATTTCACCACGGCTGGTTCCATCACCGTTTCATTTCGACACCGTTCCAACAACACCTCAGCGACGCCCCATTGACGAGCCGATACGTACCGATTCAAACCCTTTTAAACAGTATTATCGGCCGTCAGAGACGAAGAATGGCATGAAAGGGTGGGTCATTATGGAATTCGTTTTATGATGTGAGAAGGGAAAATGCTTCGTGTGCACCAATCCTTCTTGGGATGTGCCTCCTTGGCTTTGGGTTAGGTAAGATGCAACATTTGAATCATGGATGTGATTACGGCGCTACTTGAAGTAGCCAAAGCCGCCGTTAGCTTTTTTATCTAGTAACCCTACTATTTTTATGTGACGCTGTAATCCAAGGTTGTATTACGCTCTGCGGTGTGTAGGTGGGACGTCTCTCAGGTTGATTCAGCATTCAGACTCCACACTTCCGAGATCGTATTAGCTACCACATTAGTCTTGTGGAATGATCGTTTTTCTGACCAGGTAAGGGAGGGTTTGGCTTCGAATGTAACTTTAAATTGAGACCTAAGCGAATCGATAGAGCCTTGGATGCTGGCCACAGATATGAAGTTCAAAACTGTTATGTAGACCTGCCAAGGAGTTGCGAACGATCAACTTGGTCCAAGGTTCGATCTCCCTGGTGCCAAAATTTTTGCACTTCAGGGAGAGGGGTTTCAAAATGCCAAAGAAGGTGTCATGTTCGTAAACGGGGCAATCGGTACCCTGTGGTAGGAGGCTTTCAGCGAATACCGCTATACCAACGTAGCGTTTTAACAGTCTCCCAGCCTTCAATTTCTGGACGATTTGAAGAGGAGATTCGCACGACAAGCACGAAGGTCGAAGGAGGAAATTACATAGCTACCCTTTCTTCACGCGGAAAGTCTGGCATTCACAGTCTTGGGTGAAGGTTGTCTGGTCGATCGCTTCGCGTTCTTACATTATCGGCTTACTTTAAGGAGGCCCGCCTAGCCTGTTTTGTAAGTCTCCTGTACGGCTAACCCCGACACATGCTTGTGATCCATTCTTGGGTCTCTTCCCATCGCTTTAACTTGGTAGGGATGTAGTGGGAACTTTCGCCGCTTATTACACGCTCGGTTCAAGGGTCAAGTCCCATGAATTCTATGCACAATTAGGCTAAACCTGTCCATCGTGTAAACTTGTTAAATGCGCGAGACGCGCGAGATATAAAAAGAGCTTATTTGGGTTGGTAAAATTGTCGAGAAACGCCTTTGATATCTGTGTGGCGGTGATTATTAGTAAACAAACTGCCAGAAACCAACCCGCTCTCCAGAACCCGGTCTTTTCGTAATCAACACGTCATTACGGCCTCATAATGTTCTAAGCTGCATTCAGATGTGAAACTTAGTAGCCTGATATAGATGGCGTTCAAATGTGCACACCCTCAAAATTCACGTTTGAAAGGGAACCATGAGGTTTCGTGCTATGAAATCCTTCTCAATCGATTTCTCGTAGTCGATAACCTATCAATGGAAGCAAAGCAGATAATATCGCCTCACTTTCGGAAAAAAATTTTGGATGAAATTTTTTTCTTTGTTTCAAAAGTATGTGCACACTTGAAGAAGATCAGATTTTGGCGCCGAATTTTCCACCGATTTCAATCCGACTTTGCTGTTTTCATTTCGTCATCATCACAATTCGCGGTTATACGAATGAAAGGAGGCAAGCTGCAGAGTAAAGAGGTACTGGCCCGCACTAATGAAGTTCCATCTAGAAATCACACGATAACTTGGTCGTGTCTCGCGTCAATGTGCAGGAGTTTCGAAGATTTATCTGGCACCCTGATAATTATACTCAGCACACACTCCGCTCCATCCACGATCCTTGACTGCTCAGAACAACAAAAGAGTAGCCCACATCCTGTCGGATTCTTCATTGACAGTCCGAGCTCAGATTTTTATTCCAGCCTCGAAAATGACCACTAAGCCCCTCATCCGCTCAAATGAATACACCACTCGACAGACGCTGAGAAAGGCTACTCACTTCAAGGCCCAGCACAAGTTAGCCACATTGGAGTCTGCTCGTACAGACATGGCAACATAGGATAGGACACCGGGCGAAGACACGGTTTTTCGAGAATTTCCTATTTTCAAAACAAGCAACTTTTTATGGACTTTCTCTCCTCAGGTAATCTTAACTCGTGAAAGAGAATATGACGGGCCGGAAAGATTTTGTCACTGCTGAAGAGGTATGGTTGGGGGGCGATGACGCGATGAACCAGTCGTGTTCTCGAGATGGAATTTCGGAGGACGCGCATTGATGGGTCTGGGGCGGTTTCGCAATCAGCGGAAATTGGAAGTTGCCGTTCCATTATTGCGTATGAACTGTAAAGAATACCAAGCAGTGCTCCAATGTCACCTGTTGCCCTTCCTTAGCGAAGCGGAGCGAAAATTGCATTTTTAGCAACAGGACCACGTGTCTTTCGATGCTTCGCAATCTACCAAAGAATGGCCTTAACCAAATGGTGCTGAAGCGATAGATTGGCTTGTGTGTCCTCCTTACTGCAACCCTATAGGGAGCCCTTGATCAAGGCGTTAACTTTAGCAACCGGCAGTATAATACCGCGGATGAACTGAAGGCGGCGGTAGAGGCTATTTGGGCCGACAGCGACGAAACAGCTATGCCAAACGTGGTTCAGATTATGCCGGACAGGATGTTTGAGCTAATTAGAAACTCTGGAGGCCCCACTGATTTCTAATCTCAGCTATGTTTTTGTCTTTTGTTAAGTGTGCACATACTTTTGAAACAAAGAAAAAAATTTCATCCAAAATTTTTTTTCGAAAGTGAGGCGATATTATCTGCTTTGCTTCCATTGATAGGTTATCGACTACGAGAAATCGATTGAGAAGGATTTTTCATAGCACGAAACTCGTCACTGGTCTCCTTCAAACGTAGATTTTGAGGTGTGGCACTACTAAAAAACGCACTTGGTAGAGATATAAAAAGGCAGCAGTAGTCGATATGTTCGCACCGCCTCTTCTTTGTTGAAGCCGAAAAGTTTAGAATGTCGCCCTTACATTTAACTTCGTTACAAGTAAGGCTATAGCAATTGCCCAGCTCCTAAGCGGTCTAGTATGAAAGGAGAGTTTGAGTGGCGTGCCGCGTCAAAAAGTATACAATAGCAGTAAAAAGACTGTAAATTGTTCTCTAGTGTCACGCTCTATAAAATAGCTAACGATCAACCAAATGTCTTTATTTATTCATCGAACAGCCGCGTCTGTTATCGGCGTGATCAGGCTCATCGAAAAATTGAAAATGCATGACTGAAATGCTACGAATTCAATCGCACCAACGCATACCATACCATTGCCCAATCCCACAAGCACAAAGGCTGAAACAAGTCTAGGGTTCGTCGAACGACTCGTCGAGGATTTTTGCCTGTTCAGTCACGTTTTCTCCATAAACATTCACCCTCGACACTATCTTCACACAGTACTGAGCCATGGTCAAGAGTTTCTTGAACCGTTAATTTTAGCCTGCCCATAAATTGATGTGTTGCCCAAATTGTTTTAACCCATTCGCGACCGCGCGGGATCGCACAATAGCAGCAGCGTCAGGAGATTTTTCTTCACTAAAATCCAAATGAAGGGAGACTTCCTCTGCCCAGGGCTGACGTAGATGAGCGAGACTGTAATGAAGACCTTCACAGTGAGAAACTTCCAAATTCCAGTCTCCAAGCCTGGTCAGCCGCGAGGAGATTCATTGTCAGAAGTGAGAGCTTTTACCGGCCACCGGTGGTGACATGTCCAAGGTTAAAAGGATGAATTGAATGTTGAGGTATTTGGAATGTGGCCTGTTTCAAAGAGACTCGATACATGCCTATCGTGCAACTCTTATCTGTGTAGGTTCCTTGTCAGATACCAGCTCAAGTAGGGAACTCGATTATGACTCGTTGGTTGACAGGAGATGCGCGTCGCGGCGGAGATAGAGGCAGACGCAGACGAGACGTTAAAGTGTATATACGATAGGACGTCCGATCCGGATATCATTGGGAAAAAGGAATCCCTTTTTGTTTTAGACTGTTTCTTCTGGGTTTTTTGTCAACCACTGCACTGTTTACCAACTCAACTCCTATTTTCAACGATGAATAATTTATCGTATAGTATTTCACCATTGAAAGACCTTGCATTCGTAGAGCTAATGTGAGAGAGATTCAACTTACGCAACGCGAAACACTTTATACTTGGTAAATAAATACGTTATATATGTTCTTTCACTACAAATTCGCTACATCACCATCCGCAACAAACCATCCGCAGATATTTTTGATCACCGGCGCTATATCTGAACCCGCTGCACAGTAATGTTAATATCCCATATCTTGACTCATTTAGCATAGGTGATTATTGTTTAGGGAGAACTTAAAAAGTATTCTAGTCATTTCAAGTGTGAGACGTTTGAACTAGTCTTTTTGTTTTCAGGACCAGAAGTGAGGTGATTCGGCGTAGTGATGAGTCGATGCTGTCATTAGCCACTTGCGGAACTGCACCAATTGTTGCAGCTGAGAGCGTAGACGATTTGGATACGGAGGTGTCGATCCTGAACGGAAATTTGAGGGATGATGGATCGGGGTGAGTTTTTCTTCCGCTAGCTTTCTCAATCGATTTATCGTCGTAAACTCAATGTCTAAAGAATGGCGAGACTGGGTTGAAAAAACGATTTTGGTATGAGCGGTGTTAATCATTCCGAGCGGCGACCATGCAGTTTTTCAACTGGTGTGTAACAAAGAAAATTCGAGCAGGTCCATTAAGTGGATCGCTAATCTGCTGCGTCCTCATTTCATCGTGAATTGCAGTGAAGTAGTTTTTCTTCTGGACGCTAATTGTCTGAGACGTGGAATGGCGAGTAAGAAGTTAGTGCTTACAGGTTTCAAAAAATTGAAGAAGTGGTGGCAACGGCTAAGACGTTGCTATAGCAGTAGTTACGGGTTCCTTTTTAGTACCGCAGATTTCTTACTCACAAATACCTTGCGATACCCATGCGAATCGGGAGAGCACTAGACGGCAGGGGTGTGGGGGGAATGGCGAGGGGGGAGGGCAAAAAAATTTGACATTTTGCCCATAACGCACGCCAGCAGTTTTTCTTCGCAAAGATTGCCGTCGTTGACGGGAGTTCCTCAGCAAAGTATTCCTAAATGTCCCTCTAAGTAGACGCAGGCCCTCCTTCACTGCCCTCACCGTCTTCAGAATATGACGTCATCTGTCACCGTCGTCGAGCTCAAGGAGGTCTACCGTAAGCTGCTTCAGCCTGAAGCTCTTACCTAATTTCTTGAGTTTCGCTGTTGGAGGGGGGGGGGGGTCCCTAGAGACAGCTCTGGCTGTGCGAACTTGGGAAGACGTCTTAAAGGAATCTTGCGCGGAAAAATCATGATTCTATTTCAGCCATAAATCACTGGCTTGAGACTCATTATCCACGATAATAGTGAAAAGAACTGAAGTATTGCTTTCGTTTTGATTAGAAATTCGAAAACTCGAAAAGGCTGCTACGCGTTCGAATTGCCCACGGACGTCTTTCACGAATGCTGGCGACGGGGATGCTCAAACTTGGTTCTTGGAGTGCATTCACTAGAAGCTCTTTCTGGCCTTCTGCTTCGTTGCATTCACATCTTACACTTCCTATTCCATCGATCGATTTGTCTCCACTCTCCGAAATCGCGCGCTTTAACCGATTCTCTCATTGCGTCGCCTGGTACGTAGCCGGCCAAACGCCGTCTTCTTTCCATGCCTCGCCTGGCTCTGCCTCCTGGTCCTTCGATGGTCCATAACGTGTAGTTTTTGTACGTTTGTTTCTCTTCAGAAACCGAATCTTCATGCGTGAAACTTTGTGTGCTATTTCCAGTGATCACAACTGACATATTCATGTTAGGAAAGAGTGCAAGAATTTTCCGCGCAAGATTCCTTTAAGAAAACGTCGTAATGGTACCCGTTCTGCTGAGGACTGTTGAGCACGACCGCATCATCTTTCCGGAGCAGATTTCTCTGATGGTGTCCACGTAGATGGTCACTTCGTTGTGTTTTTCTTATAAAACACAATGTGTTCTTCAGTTCTAGGTTGAAAGTGTTTGGGGTAAATTTCGCAAACTGTGATTGAACTCATTTAAATGTAGACGAAATGTTCTTCAACGCCCCCGCCCTATATACTCAGGCTAATGGGTGCAGTGGGAAATGAACAAGAGTTCCTTTCTTTTCCTTGCTTATCCACTATTCGTAAATTTTTTCGAAACGGCAAATTTGTCTCCCATTTCTTCCCAATCATCGATCTCGCTAAAGATTTATCTCCAGCGATAGCCTGATCCGGAGCACACGAACGTCATATTTGCTTGGTACGATTGCGCCTGTCGTCTGTGGCACAGGCACCGATGCTGAAACACCTTGGCCCCTAGATACGCTGTAGACATGCCCCAGGGGTGTAGTTAAGTTTCTAGTCAATGCATTGGTGGCTAGAAACACTTGTCCCTACCCTGCAACCTTCTCTACGCAATAACTAATTAGCAAAAGTGAAAGTGCGAGAAAGATAGTGCTGTGTTTTTGCCTTGACATGATCGCCCTCCGATTGTGTCAGGTCGTCTGATTTGAATATTTTAGTTTCGTCTGAATTCAGATTTGAGCTAAAGCATGAGCCAAAGGTCAAAGCAACGCCCCTAGCAGAAGTCGTGTCAAGGAATGGATTCAGTTAGTGGGATGGAGTAGCTACGAGTCTCACAGATGCGGCTTGAAAGCGCGCGACAATGCGCTAGAGTCTTACAAAGTCAACTTTTGGCGACTAATCTTAGCATTTGGACGAGTTACGTCGCGCACCCCATGACACGCAACGTGGATTACGGCGTAGCGGCTAATTCAAATACGCGCGGGTTAGTTGAGCCGTGGAGCAGGCAAGTTCGTACAACTCGTCTGGCCCCGCCCCTTCCTTATTTCAAGGGAAATCCTTGTTAGGCTTCATCGACGGTTTTCTTTGCTTCTTTTTTCATTTTAGTCAACTTGGCATGCAGCTCCATTATCGACCGCTGTGACCCCACAAATTCTATCTGAGGGTGTTGCTGCAAAGGGGGAATTCACTGTAAGAATGAAGGTCGATGAAGGAGTAATTCACCTAGTTGGGAGACCGGCGGACCGCCTTGGGGTGCGACTATGCGCAAATTGCGCACGAACGATTTCCCGGCGAGTGATTAGTAGGCAGAGAGATGCGCGCATGATACGCATCAATGGCGATTATCAACGGGCAATGAAGGGCGGCTCATTTCCGGACTGTGGGCGTTTCTCATGGTTTTTCCTTCTTTTGTGTACCATTCACCAACCCTAAGTTAATTTGAAAGGGGTTGCTTTTCCAGTGTGAATTCTGCCTTTCACTTACAGTCATCAGTAAGCTTTTTCGAGCTCAGAAATTATCATATCTATATATATAATATTCATAAATTATGATAGCTCTGGATGGTTCAATCGGAAGCTCGTTTCCTTAATCCGCTGAAATTAGGCCTTTAATGAAATCAAAATGGAGCGTGACATGATTTTCTTTCGTGCGGACTTCCTTACCTTTTCAATGCGTGAAAAAACTGAGCTGAATTACTTTAGTTACGCGTAGTTTTTCAAACTACCACTTTGCTGCAACTGCAAATGTGCGCAGTGTTTTCTTTCATCGCGTGAAATGTGACCGTAAGGAAACATTCACATAAGAAGGAACTCAGCAAACATTATGAAGTATCTTCTTTCATGAGTTTTCGAAACCACTTAAAAATTCATTGCTAAATGCTGCAAACAACGGAAACACTCTCGATGTACACGTTTGTTGAGAAAACAGAGTTCTTCTTGTTACGCTGAGGGCTTTCGGATATCGCGCTTCTGTAGTAGCAGTTATTTGCTATTTTGATAAGTCGGGGCTCAACATCAAATGAAATAGCGAAATTTTGGTTGTCTCGAAAGGTCTTTGCCATTTCCATGGTATTGTATGCTGAAATCTCCAGGGAGAATTTTTGAACATTTTTCCATTGTAAAAACAATTATGTGAACCCAGTCAATGATCTCACCAGAGCGTCTCTGCCGTGGTATTTCGCAGCGATTATGGCTGAGAAAATCGACTTTGACAGAAAACATATTTGGCTACTCCTGATTTTGAAACCCAGAAAACGCGTCAATGGAAGCGATGCGGCAAGAGTCGTACGTCTTGCAATGGGGCTTCAGAGTGTCTTTCACGACATGGTTGCCGATGTCCAGAAACTCAAGAAAAAAGCCCAAAGTCGGTTGGCTTGTTACCCTGAGTGACGAGTGTCTTCTGGAGTTGTCTGGAAACAGTCTCTGGTGCAATGCACACTAACAGACACAGCTTTACTGCAGTCATCATAACACAATAGCCATTCCTCAATAGCTTTTCAAAAGAAGAGAAATTATGGAAAAAGGGGATTTCGTGATCTGGGTGACAACCGCTATCAGAAGCCTTCAGATTTTGAATGAACATTTTGATTTACCGGCTGTATCTTGTTTGACCCGACTACTTTGGTAGCAAGGAGTGGGGTTCCCCAAGTAAACCACACCGCGAGCGCCACTGGCTCAGACGCGTAGAACCAGAGATTCCGACGTCAACTCCAGCACTGCAACTTGAGAGGCAACTTTCAGACTTGGTAAGCGATCCGCTTCAGCTTTACTGAGTCTGAAAGGTTGCCGAACCAGCTCCTACAGTAAACTTCAGCTGCTGTTGGAGCTTCGATTTTTTAAAAAATGTGGAACAAGCCGGAGTGGATCTCATGCACTATGCGTAGAAAACATTACAAAGCAACACTCATCAAGGGATTTTGAAAAAGGGCCAGCAAAAGTCTCCAAGCTCCTTATGGGATGTCCTGTCTCACCAGTTGTGTTCAGCAGATCCGGCCCCAACAGAATACCGTTTGCTTCTGTTGCTGTTGATTCAACTAAAAGAGGGAGAGCTTTATGTTCCGGACTACTCGAAAACGGACTTCCTCCAGTTTTTTGCCTTGAAAGCTCAGGACTTCTAGGCAAACGGCATCCACAAGTCACCTGCTGAAAGGCAATATGTTGACGATTACGATGGGGCATATGACTGTAATTGCTGACTGGCCTAAAGAAGAAAAGTGGATTTGAAAAATCGACAAATGGGCAAAGACTTTCAGGACAACCTAATATTTCCGGTAGAAGTTTGATACACTAAGTGACACGAGGGGATGGTTGCTAACAAATTCCGCTCATCTGTCTCCGGAATCGTAAAAGCTTCATTTCCTCATTTGATTTCGAAGTTTTGGAAGAAAGTTGTTGGCATTTAGATAATCATCAAAACAGGCAGCAATCAAACAAATGCCGATCAGCATGACTTTGATGAGAGCGGATCTCCATTAGACTTACATAGCTGCTAGCTTTGAAAGTGGAAAAAAAAAAAAAACAAAACAACCCACCACAAGAGGGAGGGAATACGGGAGTAAATGTCGCATTCCTCCTATATTGAAAACAAACAATTTCATTTGCTTAAATAATGCTCCACACTAGGACAAAAAAATCTTCCTATGGCGAACATGGCTGCACTGCTCTAACTCTACGAGACCCGTAGGACCGTCGGCCCGAGTGCCTGATGAG